CATCAGTAAGACATGGAAGAGACAGACCTTCCTTTAGGTTCCTAAAACCATCTAATTCCAACATCTGTGAGAAACCCCTTCGGAAGGGATGGTGGCATGGGTAGCAGGAAGATTACCCAGCTTTTATAAGGAAAAAGCAAATAAATACACCCACAAGTAGTAGTTATGCAATATTTGTGTGATCTCATTGCAACACCTACTAGTCAATACAATATGCTTTCTTCTACATCATTCTACACTTACAACAGACTACAACTATGAACACACACAAAATCTTAACAGTTGCGTGAGAATTCCATTTCCCCCCTCTGTTTTTCAAAGTTTCTGCAACATAGTTGAAATTTTTTAAATTTTCTTTTTACAAAAACAAACAAAAAATCCACATGATAATAGAAAGCAAAGGCAATTAAAAGCACTGTGTATTTTCTCCTCAATTCTGACACCGTTTACTTACCAGCAACATCCTGGGAAGAGAGTGGGAGGGAAAGTAAAACTCAACAGCCCCAATTTAAACCAGGTTCACCTCCAATCAGTTTGGAGGTAAGGAAGAGAACCAGTCAAGATGAGCATGATGGTGTCCCTAGTTCAAAATGTGAATAAAAGTAATTACTTGGCTCGCGTCTGGATGACAGCTATTGTCTGTGGGTGGCAACGAGGGTCAACAAAAAACTTCCTCCTCTTGGTGTGTCTGTTGAAAAGGAAAATCACATTCAAGCATGAACATTAAAGAAATCAGAGTACTTCTAAGAATGCAAAGCAAAGATGGTACTTAGGGGAATTCCGAGCATAGCATTGTGGACCCCAAAAAAAGGACTGCTATGGAAAGTAACCTCACAGGGTGATCTGATCATTAATTCCAACTGGGAAGGCCATGGTGGATAGTCATGCTCCAGGCATATAATTTCTTTAGAAAAAGGTTTACCTTTGCCTTAAGCAAGCCCTGTCCACTGTTTCTGAGCCTCTAGATTAAAACACCTTTGAAATAAGCACTAATGTGAAGAAAGCACATAATCTTAACTATCCTGTAATCCCATCTCCATCTCGCTCTCTCCCATCTCCATGTAATCTTCCTTACATTCCCTCCGTAATTTCAAATGCATAAAAGGAGCTGCAAACCTGTTATTCTCCCGAGATCTTGCTCCCTGGCATCATTTGGACTCAAATAAACTCTTGTGAAAATTCTTTACAGGTTTGGACGTTTCTTATGTCGACAGTATCAAAAACACTGGGGCAATAATGACCAAGGAGCTTTACTGAATAGATTTCCACTGAAATTCAATTCCTACCCTATTTAGCAAAATCGGTGGTGGTACATGGGAGAACACATGGATGAGGAAGAGAAATGATGACCATAATAAAAAGCTAGGAAGAATAACCAGAGGGGTGAGTGGCAGCATTCCTTTGTAGCTGTTTATCCATCACAGGAGGAAGAGCCCCCAAGGCGACCTGGAAAGCAGAAGGGCCTCTAGCTGCAATTTAGAGGCCTCCATACCTGTGTTGAGCGAGTTTGGGTTGAGCGAGTTTGGGGCTCACCACCTCTCTAATTTGCGGAAGCCACATTTGAGATCTTGCTCCCTGACATCATTTGGACTCAAATAAACGCTTGTGAAAATTCTTTACAGGTTTGGACGTTTCTTATGTCGACAGTATCAAAAACACTGGGGCAATAATGACCAAGGAGCTTTACTGAATAGATTTCCACTGAAATTCAATTCCTACCCTATTTAGCAAAATCGGTGGTGGTAGATGGGAGAACACATGGATGAGGAAGAGAAATGATGACCATACATAAAAAGCTAGGAAGAATAACCATAGAAGTGAGTGGGCAGCATTCCTTTGTAGCTGTTTATCTATCACAGGAAGAGGCCCCAAGGCGACCTGGGAAGCAGAAGGGCCCCTAGCTGCAATTTAGAGGCCTCCATAACTGTGTTGAGCGAGTTTGGGTTGAGCAAGTTTGGGGCTCACCACCTCTCTAATTTGCGGAAGCCAAGAGACTTACATGGGCATTCAGGACCAGAAGCACAAAACCTCAGACAAATACCCCATGAGTGTGGGCAGATTTCCCAACCAGACGACCATCTACATGAGAACCCTCCAGGTAGATAGAGCAAATGTGCTCACAAGGCAAAGAAAGAAAAAAGGTGAGGAACTGGAGAGCAATGAACTAACTATACACCATGACCCGGACATTCTACCTCTAGGCACACATCCTCAGGAAATAATCAGAGCTTTTGACAAAGAGGAGAGAGTCTGGAAGATGCCCCTTACCCTGACAGTCTCACCCTGGGCCTCTCACCTGTGGCATAGCTGCATCGCCTCTGCAGCTGCGGTCGCCTCATCCAGCAGGGATGCGTTGGCCATGTCCATGCCTGTGATGTCACACACCATGGTCTGGTAATTCAGTAAACTCTCCAGTCTCCCCTGAGATACCTCTGGCTGGTACGGAGTGTACTGGGTGATCCTGTGAGGGAAATAAAGGACATGTCCATACTGTGGCTCCACTGCTCAGAAAAGGTCACCAAATGTCTTCATTTTAGAAATCACGATCTGAAAATTAAGTTTACCACTCTTGAGAATTATATATAACGGAATTGATTTTAAAAGGGGGAGAGAGAGAGAAACATCAATTTGTTGTTCCACTTATTTATGCATTCATTGGTTATTTCTTGTATGTGCCCTGACCAGGGATCAGCCCCACAACCTTGGCACAGCAGATGATGCCCTAAGCAACTGATTTACCCGGCCAGGGCCACAGTTCTATTTTAATGATCTTTGGTATGTGTTTTATTGTAAGCTGGCTCTTACAATCCACTTGAGCCTACCTATGACATTATAAACAGAAATTTCACTTCCTATTACCTTTCTTCTATCTAAAAAGCTCACCTCATTCACAGTTCACAATAGGAATGTATTCAAGAATTTTATATCTAACACTCAAACTTGTTCATTGGGTGGAGAATATTTGTTTTACACTATCCAGAAGTTCTATATGCTCCTAGGAAATTAATAGAGGTTCATTTTAAAATTTTCACTATCCAATTATTACAAGTCTATGGACGTTAACTCCAAAGCTATCAATATCAAGGATAAAAATGGTTAGAAGACAGCATAAATATGAATTCTAATCTTACCCCCTCCAGTTATTAACCAAATATGTATCTTTAAGTATGTAAGGTAACCCATTCAGTACCTTTATCTTTTTTTTTTCATTCCTTCATTCATTCACTCACCCTACAAATATTTACCTCATGCTTATAAAGGGAAATATGATAGCTTCTGGTGACACCTAATAAGCACAATGGGTAACAGTAATGGGGAAAAGGAGACAATAAATGAAAGAAATTATTTCAGAGTGATGAGTATTTTAAAGAAAAGAAAATAATGCCCAGCTGTGGTGGCTCAGTGGATTGAGCGTCGTCCCATGGACCAAGAGGTCCCAGGTTCAATTTCCAGTCAGGGCACATGCCCAGGTTGTGGGCTTGATCCCCAATAGGGAGCGTGCAGGAGGCAGCCAATCAGTGATTCTCTCTCATCATTGATGTTTCTATCTCTCTCCCCCTCTCCCTTCCTCTCTGAAATCAATAAAATATATTACTTATATATTTTTAAAATATTTTTTTTTAAAAAAGGAAAGAAGGTGATAGAATAGAGGGTGACTGAGGGCTTATGACAGAGCTGCTATTTCTTCACCAAGAATCCATTCCACCAAAGTGGGTCAGACTGGGACCCTGGCTCTTGCATATGATTGACATTGCTTCATATCTGTATTGTTTTTGTCTTTCCAAGCCAGAAGAGTATAAGGCAAAAATGTTAGGCATTTTGTTTTATTCTTATTTGATTTTTTTCAAGCCCTTCTCCTTTCTCCCTGTTCTGGTCATCATGTTCAAGATATTTCCACCCATCTTTTAGTCTTCTTTTTTGAAAGCTTTGAAATCAATGTCTTCTTACCTTTGATGGGGAGTGGGGTAGGGAGGCTTGCCATACCAAGCAGTACAATGTCAAGACTGAAATTATTGTCCTGCAACTTTTATTGGTGTGTGTGTGTGCACAGCAGAGTAAATTTTTGCTTCAGTTAACTTCTTGAACAGCCTGGCTTAGGAAGTATAACTCCGTTTGCCAAATTCTAAGTGGGTGGTGAACTGGAATGAATAAGGCACGCCATACATGGCACAGACAAAGTAGAAAGGGAATCTGAGCAGAAATGGAGTCACACAAAAGGCATAGACAAGGGGCAATTGTGACCTCAGATAGATAAGACTCACACACACAGCAGGGCCGGCCACCATGAAGACATATGTTTAGATTGCCTGGCTAGCATTAAACTTTCATTTTACTCAGAATCACTGATTGACAAATAGATGCACAAACTTGCACACACGTGCACACATAAAAACATGTGCACATACCAGCTAGTCCATCTAATAAATGGGAAAGATTCATTATATCCATAAAGATAAATATAGACTATACAATAAGGAGAGGGAGAGATAAAGAGAGAGAGAGAGAGAGAGAGAGACGCTCCAAAGAACTCATCACAGCACTGAGTATAATATTGAAAAATAAGCAGCCCTTGCTGGTGTGACTCAGTTAGTTGGAGGGTTCGATTCCCAGTCAGGGTACATACATAGGTTGTGAGTTCAATCCCTGGTTGGGGCACATGCAGGAGGCAACCAACCAATGATTCGCTCTCACATCAATGTTTTTCTCTCTCTTTCTCCCTCTACCTTCCTCCTGGTTCATGGATCGGTGCTGAATCACTGAGCCACACTAGACAAGGGTCTCTTTTCTTCTTGATCTGTGACTTTTCTTTATACAGTTTTCCTTCAGCTTTATTGAGGAATAATTAATAAATAAAATTATATATATGCATATATATATATGTAAAGTGTGATGATTTGATATATGTATATTTTGTGAAGTGATTACCACAATCAGATGAATTGATTTCAGTGTCTTTTTCACATCATAGTCACATTTATATTTAAAGTAAGATTACACTCTATGAAAAGTTTTGTATCTTG